CAACGTTCAGTATCATGTCCAACGCCTCTATGATAAGCATAATAAGCACTACCATTTCATTGCGGAAATATCCTTTCTAGTGGAGTGGGTGGTGTTGGCCTTGTTGGCACAAGTAAGCCTTTTTCATTTAATTTTTCTAAAAATTCTTTATAGCTTACGGGAAATGGATTAAATTTTCTTTCTTTTGTCCATCTTTTTCTAAGATCATCATATCGATATTTGTTATTGTATTGCATGGAAGTTGCATATACGTCAATAAAAGATGATGCATTATCATTCCCCTTATTGTAGTTATTCTTAGGTTGATGATAAAGATGAGGTTTGTTTGCTTTTTCTTTAGCAAGATCATCTTCAATCCTAGTAGCCACAGAATAGTCCTTTTGAAAAGTTTCCTAACCAAGGTAACGTAGATGTTTGAAAAGTGTCCTGACCAATGATTTTTGTACTAACTCGAGTTCAGGAGGCCTTTGGGAAAGATGGGACGCCTTTTCACGCCATCTACCATAGAAAGCAAGGAAACCTTCATCATCGCCTTACTTAAGCATCTCGAGTTCATGTAAAAATGACTTGAACTCTACGTTACTTTCATATTGGGTAATGAAAGCCAAAACTACATCTTCCCATGTTGCTTTGAAATTTTGATCTAGCCCATAATACCAGTCTCTCGCGGTTGGGTCCAGGGATAAAGGGAAAGTCAAAGCATAAAGCTTAGGATCAACTCCCTTTAGTGCCATAGTGCCAGTTAAACACATTAAATGATTTTGTGGACTATTGGTCACCTTAAATATTGGCAATTACGTAGCTACAAACTTTTCCGGTAAAGCAAGTCCTGGAGGAGGAGCAAACTTTTCTGCGTCAAAGTACTTGTTCCCCATTGTAGAACGAAGAACTAGCTTCTCCGACAACTTTTCTTTGATGGATAATTGTTCCATATTTTCTTGCAAGGCTAAAACTTCAGCATTTTTCTTTTCAATTCTTTCCAGTTTCTTAATTCTTCTCTCCTCAGCCTTTTATTCTCTCAAGCGAAGAATCTCTTGTTGAAGTTCTTCGATGGTTGGCATTGTTTTTGTACTAGGATTAGTTGTCGAAAAAAAATAGTTTGAAAGGGGTTGATCTTTGGATGATAAACGTAGAATGCGAGTGCCCGGGGGTCCTCTTTCCCAAGCATGAAAACCGGCCATAAAGGGGTACGAAAGGATAAGTAAATCGATACACTTGTTTAAAAAAGAAAAAAAAAAAAGAAAACGACGCAAAATATATTCAAACGGATAACATCGCCCTTAACAATTCTTCAATGAAGATAATGTTTGGACGAGTCAATTTGTTTTTTGAGAAATCAAAATTGACTCTCCAATGGGTGCGCGCAAGTGACTCTGTTGCGCGCGGTTGTCATGCACAACGAAATCACTTGCGCTGGGAGGGGACGCGCAACTAATAGAGTTGCGCGCGCCACCTGCTCGTAGAATTTTTTTTTAATTCGAGCGTTTTTTTTAATGTCATCGTTTTTTTTATTCGACTTTTTTTAACTCTTTTTTTTTTGCTATCCTTTGAATATGACACTAAATCACGAAGAGAAAACATCGTAATTGGGAACCTAGACCAAACTAAAAAGAGAAAAAAAGAAAAGAAAAGAAAGAAGACTATCCTAACGCGTTGCATATAGTCACATAATCACATAAGCATGCTATAAGTCAAGATTCACGCAATAACATTCTAAGGTCAAAAAGGCTTGGGTGTCCAAAGGTACCATATCTTAAAAAACGACGCACAAATCAATCACTCAACGTGTTGACTCATGACATCGCCCTCCCAACATTTTGTTGGTGATATGGGTGGGATGATTGTTATTGATTCCGGGATAGAAGCCTAGTGTTTGCGACCCCTAGTCAATGAGTCAATCCCCAATGGTTTAAGTGTGCTATGCTTATGCATGATGTAATGTTGCTTGTTTGGTTTTTAGTCTTGTGCAAAATGAAGATATTATGCGTTCTAGTCTCACACTCTAACTAGAGATTATCCAAGTTAATTCTCGTTACAACCCATAGGCAACCTAGTGTTGGAAACCTTAGACCATAACTACGAATTAATCATGTAATCTCTATGTCCCCAGTGGAGTCGCAACTGTAAGGAGGGTGATCCCATCGTAAGGGGTACTCTCCTTAAATGCCCATGGCCACTTAAAAGCCTAGCACTTTACACTTGTTAGGGTGTAGTAGGATTTGAATTTATGACTGTTTGGGGGACCTTGAATTAGAATTATTCTATCATTACACTTTTTTGTAAGAAACAAGTAGGAGTCGCCAATGTACACCTGAGCAGTTTGCTCGGATATACATTGCTTACCTTCTTTTTGTCACCATCTTGGGTGATCGAGGAGAGCGCTTCGCTATTGGGTTACTCATTTACCTCAGTGATTTGGGGCAAGTAGGTAACTTGAGTTGGGCGGAGGTGTCGTGCGCGCATATGCTTATAGCTATGGGCAAGGCGACCCGGGTGATGGATTCCACAGCGGCTACTGAGGTACCTCGGATCTCTATTTCGTGGCATGGTCGTATCCTCAAGGTCCGTGCTTATTTTTAAATTTTGTTATCTTTTTAATCACCATTTTCGCCTTTTGATCTCAATTTCTTTCTTTTAGGCTTGGGGTACTCGTACCTGCCTTTCTTAGCCTCCAAGATGCTTACAGTGGCTCTCTTTCCTATCGGCCGTCGTCTTGTCACAATTAAGAAGAAGAGAACGACTTAAGCCGGCGACTTTCGCCAGAGGATTCTTTCGGCGACTCGTGCATCGGTGAGTATCTTAACAGCACATGTATATATTTATTGTTATTATTATTTTTTGATGATTTTTCATGTGGTTGTGTAGATTGATCTCCATCCTTGGAGTTTGATCGTCGGAGTCCCTGAGGTTGTATGGTCTGGCATGGTTCGTAGCCATTTCCGGGCCCTATATCAGGGACTTTTGTGCTCCAGAGGAGTTACGCTTGGTTTTTAGGTGAGCGTGTTCTCTGGCAGACTTCATCCGAGAGCCTTTGGTTCCTGCGGACCCTCCAGTTTGGATTTTGCGTTTGGACCTGCTGTCTACCAAGGATCGAGCTCAGGCGATCCTTGGTTATCCAGCAGAGCAGCTGGTGCTACGAGATGCATCTTACCTAACATTCGTTGCATCCAGGCTGACTCCTTTTCCAGCTAATGTTCCGGTAAGTATATTTTACTGTCTCTTTTTTTTTATTTATTTTTTTATTTATTTTCGAAACTTTGACTCTTTTATTTTATTTTTAGCAAGTCGAGCTAGGCGGTTGGGTACCTCCTACGGCGGAGATCACGTATACCGATACTTTTGGGTTGGTTATTCGTGATATTCTCCCAACAGCGGAGGATAAGGACATACCATTCGTTCCTAAGATGGTTGACTCGGTATGTTTATTTTGTATAATGTATTTATTATTTTTCCTTTTTTTTCATATACATTGTTTTGATAACTGTCCTTGTATTTTTTTAGAATAGGTTCCGCAAGAAACCGTGAATGGCATGGTGAGGACTTTGTGTGCTTTCCGAGCAGCTTATCGGAGAACCCTCGTGGCTTTGTCATGTCGTGATAATCGGATGGTCACGGTAAGTCTTTTTCTTTCCTTATTTTTTTGTCAAATTTATTACACAATTTGTGTACTAATCATTGTCTTGGATTTTGCAGGATGTACAGCAGCCATCCGGGTGTCGCCGAGAATCCTGACTTCCTTTCGTATTTTTTTTTATTTTATTATGGGAAAAAATGTACATATATTATTATTTATTTATTTTGTACATATGTGACAGATATTTTGTATATATATCATATATTTTTTGTTTCCATGAGTTTCTTCTTTTTTTTTTCTTAATTTTTCTCTTTTATTATTATTTTTTTTTTGGAGAGAAAAAAAATTGAAAAAAAATTCGGAGGGAGGGAAAGGGTTCCCGATTCATTCCCCTCGAAAAAATAACAAAAACAAAAAAAGGGAAAAAGTAAAAGGAAAGGAAAAAAGAAAAAGAAAATAAAAAAGAAAGAAGAAAAGAAAAGGTGAGAAGGGAAAAGGAAATAAATAAAAATAAAAATAATAAAAAAAGAAGTTATTAAGAAAATAAAATAATAAAATAAAAGACACAAGAAAAGAAGGAAAAGAAAGGAAACAAGTGTTAACAAAGTTGAGTGTATGATAAGACATAAAATTCCGTTAATATTCTGTTATTTTGAGGTTCAAAAATACGAAAATAAGCCTAATAACATGTCGCAACAGTCAAATCGCACGCAATTGGATAGGTTGCGTGCGGCTGTCGCGCGCATTTCAATTAGATGTGCGCGGTTGGCGCGCGCAACTCATAAGATGCGCGCACATTTCGGACTACCGAGAATCCCTTTTAAATTTGCGTCAAAGCCTCGTCTACGAGTTGACGGTCAACAATTGGGAAAGGGAGCAAAGGCACTTCCCAATTCCCGTGGACGACGTACCATGAAACTTTCTATTTTGTCGAGCCCGATTTTGGTCTCAATTGCGCCACCTGTGAGAAAACTTTCAGTACAAAACTAACCTCAAGTAACACCAAAAAAGTGCTACATTAACTGGTAAAAGTGTTACTATAGACAATAGGGACATTTTATTAGGTGATACTTCCGCCCATGTTACCTAAGGTCTTATGTAACACTTTAAATGACATATGATAACACTTTCAAAAGTGTTACTATAACCCTCTAATGTAACACTTTTTATATTATTAGTATCATTTTTGAAGTGGTACTTTTTAAATATTATATAACACATACCTGTCTTTAGTAACATTTTTAATCATATTGTATCACTTTATTCGACATTGTGTATCACTTTTTCGAACTGATGTAGCACTTGATTTGACTATATGTATCACTTTTTTCAAATTAACGTAACACCTTATTAATTAATAAGTAACATTTATTAATATTATTATAATATAAAAATATTATTAACATGTAAAACAAGGAATGTGAAATTAACATATATAATAGACTATAATTTGAATTGAAATAATTAATTTCATAGTTCTTACAAAATAAACACCATTATTTTTTTATTTTTTTTTGGGCTAAACAATCAAATAATCAAAATATAAAGTAGTGAACTTCGATCTCTTCTAGAACTCCAATTTCTAGTCAGCGCAGATGCAGAGAACAACACTAATAATAGCACTTGGCAACAGCTAGCTAGCGAAAACAACAGCTACTAGTAACAGCATTCATTAATACCAGATAACGGTAGTAGCAGAAGCAGTAGCAGTAGACAGTAGTAGTAGTAGTAGAAAATAGGAGCATCAGCAGTAGACAGTAGTAGCAGCAGCAAACAGCAATGGACAACAATATAAGCAAAAAAACAGCAGTAACAGCAGCACCATTGCATTACTCTGCCCTATCTTATTTTGGAAACCATTCCCAATCTCAACCTCCTCCTCTTGCTTACTGTGATATGATATTATTTTTTCTATGCAGTGGACTTGCCTAATCTCACTTGGAAATTTTAAGATATTGAAGAGACTACCTTCCTCTTAGATTGTTGTGCCACTTTATCTTGATGTTGGTCGACACGTCTTCTAATCTGTTGTTGTGTCATCTGCATCATATCCAAATCCATTCCCCATTGGATTTTTCTTTGTGTTGAATCTCTCCCTAGCAACCCTTGATCTAAGTGTTATTTTTTTTTTGTGTTATGAGACTATTTTCGTGTCCACAAACTAGGATTAAACAGCTAAACAAGACTCAACACAAACAGTTTCTTCTGTGTTTGCAGCTAGCACTTTCTTCCTCTTGAATTTCCTGCAGAGTACAGGAGCAAAATATTGATTAATTCATAGTTAAAAGTCATCATCATGGCATATGACTTCAGATTTTAACTGCTCATGACAATGCAAGATTAAACTGCAAAACATTTACTTTCTACATTCCCAAACAGCATCAGATGAATTGAAACAATTTTAAAGCCAATAGAAACCCACTCGATCGATGTGTACAATCTCACAATCCAAACGATGATGATCATCTCACTATCTCAGGTATAAATTCCATGTTCAAATAGAAACAAATATTGTCAAAATATGAGTTATTCACCAAAAACAACAAGAGAACTGATGTAAAAGCAAAAACAAAAACACAAGGGAAACTAAATTAAGCTATCATGGAGTATAATGAAACAGCTTGGGAATGAGAAGATCACCTCGAGTAATCAAAATGGAATTTAACCTTTTTTTTGCAAAATATGAGCTATTCAACAAGAACAAGAAGAAAACTAAAAACAAGAATGCAAGGGTAACAATAATACACTAATTATCAAGGCCTTGTTCTTCTCTACCTTATTTATATAGATTATAACTAATCTCACACACTAAAATCAGATTTAGATTTTAATTTGCTGATAACCACATTTTACGAAGTATAACTGATTTTAACCAATATTTTTTTTTATTTCCCCCAAACAGAGCCAAATTCATTCAATAATCATGTATCATAAACCAAGCCCTTAAACTAAGCCTGGTCAAACTCGGCATCGATCCGGCAACCAACATACAATCCACAGCCGAAATTCAACAGCTATTTATCCTAACTCAGTTTCTGAATATTATCAATACAAGCTTACACATGCATGAATTAAATTACATAAATCATCGATTCTAAAACAAGTTTATTAATTCTACAAAATCTAAAATTTAACAATTGATTTAAGGTGGAGAGTTATGTACCTTCAATAGTCGTCAGCCTTGTTAACTCGTCAAAATTTCGGAACTTTCATAAGCTGGAGCCTCACTACGCACTCTCAATAGGAGGGTGGGTCAAACAATTAATTATATTTAAGAGAGTATGTTAGCAAAAAATAAAATAAAATAAAATAAAAGCACTCACTATAATAATATTTCATGACTTCAGTGACTATCAGATATTTTTAGTAGTCTACCTTGGAAGAACCCAAAATTAGTTATACTAACAAGTAAATTGACATTCGATGATTAATTAGAAGAAAGAAAATTTTACCTCAAAAGAAGTTTCAATGGACAAAAGAAAGCCCAGAAGCTTGTATAACTAGTTTATTTTTGTTATGAAAAAAAAAAAAAAAAAAAAAAAGCATTTCAATAAATTTAAAAGACATGAATTTGGCACTACATCTTATATATCATTATCTATGGTATCAACCCTCACTAATTTCTTGAGGATAACAATCACGCAAAAAATATCAGTAAAAAATTTTATAAGGCCTATTGTTACTATATATAATTCTTTGCTTACTAGCTTAAATAAAGAAGTGAGAAAAAGTATTTACATTTTTTGGGACCTGTATTGAACTGAATACATACAGAAGCGACAAAATTAGATGTCAACCACCTAAAATATGTGATTCCAATAACTAAAAGGTAGAAAATAATCATTTTTATTAGGGAATGATAATACATTAAATTGAGCACAAACTAGGTACAAAGGTCTTCAATAAGATACTACATTGTTGGTATAAACAAGTATTTTTCCCACTGTAGCTACCTTAGGACAGTGTTTGTTGAATCTAATTCAAAACATCTAGAGTACAAATAACAACTTATACCTCAAGGCACTTATAAAAGGGAACTACTTTGCAATCCCACTCGCCTATTTATTTGGTAGTAAAATGATTCAAGAAGCTTTTAAAATCTTCAGCAGTCACAAGACATTCATGTTGAATAACAAATTATAGAACTAAAATTGCACTCTAATACACAGTCACAGACAAATTCAAGGCTCTTAGATTGATTTAAATAAAAAAATTAGGTAACTCTTTGCTCATAATAAGAATGTAGATAGCAATAAACATCAAATAATAATCAATCACATGCCTAAACCAATATCCAAAGTTAAAAATTGAAATCCTAATGTGATAAGACATGATCAAGACGTAGTGCTTTACTGGGTATCTTGTTTAGGTGTGTGACATACTAAGGACTTGTCTTAACATTATTTTTGGTATAACTCAAGAAGTCAAGATGAAGTATAGTGATCTCAGTTCTAATTAACCACCTACATATGTGGCTTGCAACCAAATTAGTAAATTACTGTCCATAGAAAATATAACATATAAACAAAATAATCAAATCACTATACTACCAATTAAAGCTCATATCAATATAAATATATAAGATCAACTGTTCAATTAATCATGTCATTAATTAGCTAAATATACACCTAAAACCTTGAATTTATCACATGATTAAATAAATAAACATCCCATATCCAATCAATATAAATAAACTGATGATCCAAAATAGAAGATGATAAGAAGCATAACGTTTTTTTGCCATCAAATGTTTCGTCATCTTAGTTGTAAATTTTTAATTTTTGTTCTATATTTCAACAAATTACTTTCTTATAAGTCCCTAAAATAATAATTGAAACAAAAAGAAAAATTAAACATATGAAACCCTAATTTTATTTTTCCGCCAAAATGAAAATTTAATTGAATATAATAACTGAAACAAGAAAGATAAAACAAAAATTAAACATATCAATGTGACAACATAAGATTATAAGAAGCCTTGATTTCAAAATTTCCTTGAAATTGAAATAGAACAAGAAGAGAAGAGTATGGTTACCTGGAGAATGAAAAACCTAATTTGGGGATATGAGGTCGCCGACTCTCGCCGATGCTAGATAGTCCAGGTTGATTGTCGGAGCCATGGTGTGACGGAGGACTGGATAATCGGTGATGACTGGTGAGTAACCATGAAAGCTTGAGGGAGAGAGACAGCGAGGCTCGATTTTAATAAAAGATAAATGGTGTTTTTTTCTTCTTTTTTTTTTTAACTTTTTGATTTGAATCGTGTTGAGGTTTTGATGAAAAAAATTGATAAGATATAATAATTTAATCTAATCTAATCTATCTAATCTAATCTAATCTAATATATTTTTCGGAAGCATTCGGGACGCCTCATAAGAAAAGTAAATATTTCGTTCAATGATAAATTAGAGTTTTATTTTAATTTTGAATAAAAGTAGCGAATAAGATATGGTATTTATCTTATAAAATTTAGTGCACAAATTTTACCAACGTAGAATAGGAATGACAACTCCAGTTTAATAATGCAACCGAATCAAAATTATCTTATAAATGTTTTTTTTTTACCATTAAAGTATAATAAGTATGAAAATTCCACTTTAATACTTAAAACTTTCGGTCAAATAAAAATTTAAGGGAAAATTATCTAGCTTGTGACACTATATCACAAGTACTAAATAATACCTCCGAAAAAAATTATATTTAAATGATAAAGTATCATTATAAAATAAATTTTGATAGTGTTTATGATAAGAAATTAAAATTGTTCATTAATCTTAATTAAATTAAATTTTTTTATACCTACTGTTATAAATTGACACATATACGACACCAACAAAATTTCATATTTATACAAAATTCGCATCTAGAGAATTTTGTATTGGTAATTTTGTGTCACTTTTAGGTCATCAATGGTAGGGTACTTTTTAGCTTAATTTCATATGTTTATGTTTTGTTTGATGAATTTCGTTTTTACATGCAGATCAAAGAATTAAATTCGAGCAAAAATGGTTAAAAATTCAAAGTACGAGTTTTTCACCTGTTTGATGTACTAAATTTCCGCAAACAAAATAGCTTAATAAGTCTGGATATGGTAATATTGGACGAAGAGGTATTTTTAAAAACAAATATTGTGATTTTGATTGCATAATCAACTTATTAAATTAATTTAATTTCTTATTTTTAATTTCAGGGTGATTACACAAGTTCATGCCTCAATTTAAAGCCAACTGTGTTGAACATTTTCGTCCAAACTTGATTGAAGACTATGAAATGTTTACTCTATTAGAAACTTTTCAGTCGTTCCAAATAATAAGCAATATCGCGTTGTCATATCGACAACAAAATAATGATACAATAATTAATGATGAAAAAATTCCAATGCATAGATTTGATTTTATACATTTACAATTTTTAGATCTATTTCGCAACAATTATATCGATATTTTTTATTAGGTTTAAATAATATTCTTACATATATTTATGTGTATCTAATAATTTTTTTTTACATTTTGCTTATGTGTAATTTTTTTTAATGTTCTTATTGAAATATTTATTAGGAAAAACAAGTTTATGTAAAGCTTTGGAATAATATTTTGTTGAGCATACCAAACAGAAAAATCAACTTAAGTTTGTTTTTTTAAAAAAAAATTATTCTTATTCATTAGTCAAGTATGCAAAACATGAATTTGTTAAATTGAAATAAGCTATGAAAATATTATCTCATTTGTCGGGTGGTTAAATAAAATCATTTAGATCGATCAAAAGATTTTTTAATTCTATTAAAAAATTAATTTTTTTAATTATTTTTTTAAAAATTCTACTTCTAATATAAAAGATAATAAGAAATTACAAAAATAATATACAAAATGAAATACAAAAAAACCGTGCATCGCACGTGCTTACATCTAGTAGTAGTAGTAGTAGTAGTAATAATAATAATAATAATAATAATAATAATAATAATAATAATAATAATAATAATAATAATAATAATAATAATAATAATAATAATAATAATGGATTAATCATACTTCCTCCGTTCTTTTTTACTTGACCCGCCTTGACTTTTACACTATTCACTATCCCTCCTTTGATCGTGTTTTGTGAATAATATGTAAGGAAAAAAACATATGTATGTTAGATCATTTTGAATTCTTCTCCATAAGTACTATCATAATGTATAACTTTTATATTTTTTAATTATGGAGAATTAAAGTTATTGACTGTTAATGTTTTGCATTGACAAGCGTGATAAAAGAAATAGGTCAAGTAAAAAAAACCAGAGGAAGTATCAAACTAATAAGTGTTACAAACTTACAACAAGTGTAATTACCTAATTTCAAAGTGTTACAATGAAGTGTTACAAAATATTTAAGTGTTACTAAAAAAGTTACCTAATACCACAATGTTACGAATGTGTTACGTAAAAATCAAACAATCTAGAAATTTTTAAAGTGTTATCGATGGGCATTACTTAAGCCCAATTTTGTACAAGTGCCTTTGAGCGAAAATTGCCGAAATTTTAGGCTTTTGATCATCTTGCATTCATCTGTTAGTAGTTCTATAAAGAAAAAAGAATTAATCTCTATACTTTCTCTCTCTCTATTTTTTTTTTTTGAACAATGGTTAAAACCTTTGAGAAATGTTTGAAACAATGGGTCACTTCCCTTTCAATTGAGGATAAATTAGGGTGTAATCTATTCACCTGATTTTCACTGATCTGAACTTATTTGAACTTATCTGAACTTATCTGAACTTATTAGACCTTGTTAAACTTATTTTAGTTGTAATTTGTACTTGGGTAACTCTTATCAGAACTTTTTAAACCTGATCTGAACTTATCTGAACTTAACTGAACTTATCTGAGCTTATTACACCTGAAATAAGTGAAAATAAGGTGAACTGAACAGACTCTTAGCTTACAAAATATACCACCTTGACCCTCTAGTGAACTATATGCAATTAGTTATTAATGTTGACTTCCTTCATGCCGCTGTTAATCATTGGGATTCGAATCACCATCTTTTCCTTTTCAAAGGGGATGAAATAGTCCCTTTACCTGGTGAGTTTGAGGCTCTACTAGGTTTCCCTGCAAATACTCTCCTCGCGACATATGCCCCTAACTTGTCAGATTACAAACCGTTTTCCAAAGATTTTTGGTTTGAATGACAATGATATGGCCAATATGGGTACTGAAGAAGGCGTGAATTTAGTTCAATTTAAATAACACTTTTTCCCCCCTCGTGACAACTTGACTAAACAACGTTTTAAAATTCATGCTTTATGTCTTTGTCTTATTGTCAATTGTTTACTTAGGATAGGTAAAGTGTGTGGAGATTATTCCATGGTGTCCACAATGGAGAAAATATATGGGTGTTACTCAACGACCCCTTTATCTTAAGCAAAAATTGTTCTTTACCTGAATTGCCTTACAAGAGACCCTAACAAGAACGGTTTCACGGGAAGTCCACTCCTATTACACGTACGTTTTTTTTTTTCATTTTTTCAGCATAAGTAATGAAGTTGCGCTGGTCATGCCTACACAATCTTATGAGATGCACGCAGGTGGCGTGTGCAACTGGATGTGATGCGCGCGCCACCTGCTTATGTAACATCGCAATAATTTTTTCTTCTTTTTTTCTGTTTAGGCTCATGGAGCGTTTGCGAACCGTTGATCAGCCAAAAAAATTTTAGGCTAACGGAGTGAGAACATTCCTCGGGCATCGAATCCTCTACAAGCATAAGAATGAAGAAGAAGATGCCGTTTTTCTTTCATGGGGTTCCTAAATGCTTTGTGTAGACACCTAAAAATGTCTCCCCAAACCACACCTGATGATGAACAACCTTTCACCGCCGTTATTGGCCGGGTTGAGTATTTAACCTTTGGAGTCCTTAAATCCATGTTTCCATATTTCCATTTCATAAACCAACCTAATTCCTAGCCCATTTCCCCTAACAATAACTTATTTTTCTCTTTTCGTGTCCTTTAAAATCATTCATTTCGTGTCCTTTTTATAAAAATGGTTAGTTTTGTTTATTTTGATCATTAATCCGAGTCCAATGATTTAATAATTGGATGGGGATTTAAAAGATCTTTCCAATGACATATTATAAGCCCAAATTCGAGTTATAACGAATAAGTTATGGCCAAAATACTAAATTGAGCCCAAACCGGACCTTAGCCCACCTTAGCTACGACCCAATTATCATGTGGACGGTCCAAAGGATTTAATCTCATTCCTAAAATAATTAGAATTAATTAGAAGCTTCTATAAGTTTCCAAAATATCTTAATTATCCTTTTTGAAAAGATAAGATTAAAAGAGTTTGAAATTGAATAAAACTCCTCTTTTTGAAAGTCCTACTTCTATTTTTATAGAAAGACATTCAAAGATAGTCAGATATTATTTTTCTGCCTCATAGTTTTAATCCAAATCTTATATATTAGGATAGCCCTTGAAATTATCTTTCCAATGATATATTATAATATTAATTCTGTGCTAAAACGAAAAAGATATGAATGAAATACCAAACTCTATCTAAAACTGACACCTTCTCACTATTTCGGCCATATATTTTATTCTAAAAAATACTTCAACCTTATTCTAATTGTGTTAGAAATTAGACTTCAACAGATTTCCAACCACATATTATTTATCTTATTCAAATTTTTAGATCAAAAGAAATGATAAAAACAAAAACCGCAAAAACTGTTGTCTATCGCAAGAGTATTATTCCGATTCGAATTCTTATCTTTTTTTTTTATTCTTGGAACTTCTTTTTTAATTATAAATAGCACCCCTTTTTCAATAATCAACAATCTTGATCACAAAATCATTCTCTTCTTCCTCTTTACCCTAAATACTAGCCACCCTATTCTCTCAAAATACTTCCCCTAAACACTCCAAGGAGGTCATACTTAACTCGAGGTTCTGTCCTTAAACCAAGGTATGAAAGCTATAATAAACTGAGGGTTTGGAACAAATCAACCCTAATTTTTATTTAATTTAATTGTTTCAATATGATTTATATTTTTATTAAAGTTACTAACAGTTTATTCATGATGTATCAATTTAAGGGAATGCGGAAAGTGAGTAATTAATCACTTAATTACTCTTATTTTTATTCTTGTTTCTAGTATCATGATTAGGTTTATTATTATTTAATTTGACTAACGCTATTATTGTTGAATTACTTCCAATATTAATGTTCATTCTATTATTTTTTATTCATCACCATGTTGCATGTTTAAAGGGAATATGTAATTGAAAATCACGCCTAATAAGATAATTTGGACAATCGGTTTAGGTTCCTTTTTAATCTTGTTGTTTAATCAAGTAATCACGATATTTTATAATTATATATTGCATTAATATTCAACCAATTTAGCATAATAATAGTTTGGAGCAAATTCAATCTTTGTTTGCAGCCTTAGAGATCGCAGGAATCACTTTTCACTATAAGAATCGAGTAGAGGCCAATACGGGCGAAGGTGACTCCATGACTCACTTTGTACCATCATCCTCAATCCTCCTTTCGTGGTTTCGAACCATATGGAGTTAATAATC